GCCAGCCACGCAAAGGGAACAGCATGTGCAAAGTTCTCTTACACCAGCCTGTATTTCACGTCCCCGGCCTCAATTTCCTCATTGTAACGTAAAGGGGAAAATCAAAGGATTTTACTGTCTGACAGGCGTGAGTTTGAGCTGCAGTTCCAACAGTTCCTAAGTGTAGGGACTTGGGGGCAAGTTACTTCAACTCTCTTTGCTATGGTTTCTAATATGCAAAACGGGGATAATCAGTCCACCTCGCAAGGCCGTTTTAAGAACTGAATGAGTAATAAACATAACATGCCCAGCACAGTATCTGGCTTTCTAGTAAGTACTCAAACAATGATAGCTATTAATTATCATAATACTATTATCATTTTAAAAAGCGAGAGGTTGGATAAGATTACACCTGAATTTTCTTCCAGCTATAGCATTTGATGGACCACGAGCTATAGGTATTTGCATAGTTTCTTTTGGGAAGGGGCAATTTAGGGGATCAAGGCAAAATGAAGTAGTGAATTTTATAAGGAAGACAGACACAGGCATAGGCGTCTTCTGTCTCAAACTCTAACTCTGCTGCAGAGCTAAAGCCCTTTGAAAAGAAAGCATGAAAACATATTCAGGGGAAATAGGAATGCTAATACGATGGGAAATTCCAAAACACAAGGTAAGAGGAATATAATCAGGTCATTTTGAAGGGAAGTAAAGTAGGTAGAAGATGTTTTTGCTCGAAGACAATTTCAACTAAAACAAGTTCTTTTTAGACTTTCTCATTACTTAACAAAAATAAAGCAACCTCAAAATAGTACACCTTTTCTGAATTCAAATGCTATAATTAATCAATAATTTAGACGTATTTTTGTGTGTGTGGATATAATTGGAAAGAACTGCTTCTTGATGTCACACTTATACAGAATAGAAAAATGGAGAGTGAAAGCCAAAACGGGCTCCAGAGACCATCTCATGTCACCCCAGGTACAGGGCGAGGAAACTGAGATCCAAGTTGTGAAGGGACTCATCTGAGGCCAGAGATCATGCAACTTTTACCTCTTTTCAACCCTAAATCACAAAGCGCCCAAGTGGTGTAAGATCTTCAGCTACGATGCATCATAAGATGACGGCCTACCCATTCGTAAACCTAAATTATAGAAAGAACAAGCTAATAGCCACAGTGAAGAAATAGTTCACAGTAAGAAATATTCCTACTACTAAGACACTGATAGGAATAAATTGAAAACAATTTTGATGACAATAAAAACAGTTGTCCTAGTTTAACCTAACCTGGCTACCATGGGATTTCCTCTAAGAAACTGTCTGGCAGTAGGGTGAAAGGGTTAAGTCTGTGGGGCATTTCATTTTTCAGCCACTAGCTGTGGTATCCTGGGTAATTATTGCGGCTTACTTGAGACCACACCTTAGATAAACCCGTAATGCTAGAGTTTTCTGCAAACATTTTCTTTCCTGCAAGCTGTGGCTTGTCTCTTTCATATATTTGTCCTATGTTTCCAACTTGATTTTCCAGTGGCTAGTTTATACTTGGTTGAGCCAACAAATCGGGGTCTGTTGATTTAGCTTCATATCTTCTTGGGGCTTGCGTGAGACAACCATGCCAGCTATGTGGCAAGGAACACAGTCAGGCCAGAGGAATTATTTTCCTACAAGAGGAATAAAGTTAAAAAAAAAAAAAAAACGGAAGAGGAACTGGTTCAGGTAAAGGTTATCATTTAATTTCCTTTGTTTTATTCATTCCTTTTCAAGAATAATATCAGCTTTGCTTGTGACTAATATTTCACTCTCGTTTCACTTCTTAAACAAGTATTTAATTTTTCTCATTTTAAGAAGTTCTCTTTTATAAACAGAGCCCGGTACAACAACACAGTCTAAGGACAGGGTAGCTACGTGGTGTGACAAGAGAAAGTGTGTCCCTAAGGAGGCCAAGTCCCCATCACGGTGCTCTATGGAATGTGGAATGACAGTAAGGGAACCATTTTTAGGTCATATCAGTCTATAAAGAGTACAAAGCAAAACAGTTTGTGTTTTAGGTTTTAGTGGTTACCAACTACAAGGTACTTCTTGAACCTGCATATCCCTTTGAGAAAAAAATACTCATGATATCTAGGTCAATAGGGACGTATCTTTTTTCCTCTGTAAAGAAAAATGGTATTTCCTTCTCTCCGTCTCCCTGCACCTCATCACCATCACCACCAGTGCCACCCCTAGAGTGCCAGACCTAGAGGAAACGCTGTGAATAATCACAGGCTAAGAAAATAAATGTATTTTCAAAACTTTCAGAGTCCTGTGAGGTTAGCAAGAGTGGTAGTCTGATTTTATAAGTTTTGCATGTAAGATGAAAAATTAGGGCAAAGATACAGGCATCTGAAGCAACATGCTTAAAGTCCTGAATGAAACGAACAGTGGTAGCAGGATTACCACCCAGGCCAACTGCTCTTGAAATGCCCTCCAGCCCCTCTGTGGGTAATCGTCAATGTCAGCATCACCCAACAACACTTCTCACACACGTTAGTGAAACTACTTTAACCAGATAGTTTGATCGCTTTTTTGCTGAGAAGGCAGTATTTAGGAAATAGAAACTTTCATTGTGTTGGGATGGAAGGAAGAATCACTTTTGAGCCAGAAGACTTGAGGGAGGGGCGCAGTAAGGGAAAGAAAATGTGTTTATCAACTTTAAAAAAAAATCAAAAGTAATAAATGCTCAAGGCAACGAGCAATATAATCCCAAAGTATACAGAGTTTTTAAAGTGAATAATATCCCCCACTGACACTAGCCAATATTAACAGCCTGGTGCGTATCTTTTGCGTCTTTTTAAAAGCCACAAAAAATATGTAAAGAGAATGGTGGAAGTGGAGGAAGTGAGGAAGGAAAGAAAGAATTAAGGTTCAGGAAAAGGGTGCGAGAGCCTCCCCCCCCCCCCCCACCAACTTACTCTTGAGCTGGCCTCGGCTATAACCAGGAAGCTAAATTCTCTCTTGGAAGGATGCAATTTCAGTTTCCCATAGGTCAGCTTCATTGCCCCACTTGTCCTGGTTTAGGGTCAGAAATCCACACTCTCCATTTGAGCCAATTTTCTCCCTATCTAATCTCTGCCCCTCCATTCCCACCCCACTCCACACACACTCACCCTACTACTGCCCCCTATCAACCCATGAAGACGGAAAACCAGAACATACAAGTGACAGAGGATAGCTGTTCTCTGAAAAGAGGCTGCTGCGGGCATCTGGCTCCCTAAGACCTTGGAATATGGGTCCTGGACTCTCAGAGTTTGATGTTTCCTGAAATCAGAATGGCCACAAAAGTGGAATGGATGGCTGCTCACTGAGTTTGCAGGTCAAATGCCTCTGGGGACGTTCCAGGTCCAGGTAGGACCTGGTGCTTTGACATTGCTGCTAGGTCCTACAGGTCAACTTGAGGTTGTTGGTCGTTGAATTTGAGTTCACTTTTGGGAAAGTTAAAGCAGTCTAGGATATGGGCCAGTTTTAGGTTGGGCAGCCACATTCCTGCCTTCTCTTCCCTACATACACACAAGTTTGAACAATCTGCCTATGCAATGAAGCATCTGCATACAAATCCAGCCAGAGCAAGAGCTGCCCTCTAGTAAAACACCATTTCAGAGTTAGGGCCTTCTGCCAAGTCTTAGGCAACCACTGGAAGCCATGGCTCTTACACAGCAGGTTGGTCAAGAATAGAGTCAATATGACAATATCCTAAGAAACCCAGAATGTATCCCTAAGCCTGGAGCAAAGTTGCCAGCTAAGACTGATGTTGACTTTTTGGGGATCCAAATGATGACATGCCCCAATTCACCCTTCTGTCAGTTAAACTCACATTACTCTTACTGGCATATAGTTGGTGCCAGAACAGGGCTGGCCAATCAATGCCCTCTGAAAAGTGCTGTGCTGGATTGTCTCTCCAGAGTAAATTCAAGTATAAAGGAGGGAGATCTTTCCATAGTGATCCAAGTAGTTCCAGAGTACATTAGGTATCACAGCTGGAGCACAGAAGAGCTGCAAGAGCAACGGGTGACACAGTCTTCTACTCCCTCTCTCTCATTTGAATGAAATCTGGAGGCTTGTTTTAACAGTATTATAAGTGCTTTTATTTATTTAGTGCTTCCTGTGTGCTGGACTCTGTGTGCAGCACTTTATAGATATTATCCATTTAATCCTATCAACCTTGGAAAAAAGCTCACAATTTGTGCATGAAGTCAAGGACAGGTCATTAAATCCTAGCTTCGCAAATTTGTGTGAATGTTTGCAAGAATGAAACCACTCTTCTTATTTTAAAATCAGGTACTTATTCCAGCCTCTACCCTGAGTCACAAGCTGGGTACTGGTATGAACATCATATTCACTTCCCTGACAATCGTTTGACTGTTGAAACCTAGGCCTTGCCAACTCTCCCAAAGTTGGCGGGGAAGAACGAAGTGTGCAGCGAGTAAAGGGATCCAGTTCAAGAAGCAAGCAGATCAGGATGCTAACGCTACACAATGATTTGTTTCTTTATTTTAAAATAATAATCATAATAATTAGAATTATTAATCTCTGAAAGTTAAAGGCTGAGGTGAGCTAAAAAGAAACATGTGACATAACCAGTTTCATCATAGAGTGACTTTCAAAAAGAAAACACAGCTATTTATTTTCTGAAAACATTGCAAATACTTATAAATAATAGCTGGTTCCTATTTGGACAGTAATTTATTTCTGGTATTTTTATTTCATGTAAGAGTGTAATGACATTTTTCAGACTAACTTTTGGGCATTTGTTACATGAGATCACAGAATTAGAAGCACTGGTGGTGGCCATCCCAATATTGATACCATGCAGAGTTCTCTGCCCTAACCTCTTGAACCCACCTCCTTCCTTCTTGAACTTGCCAACCAATGAGAGGGCAACCTGGGCAGTGTCCACACTGATGGTTGTTCAAGTACCTCCAAAATGGCATTTTAACGTCACACCGCGTTATACAAACACACTGAACTTGTGAAAGGTTTGTACTTACCAGGCTGCTATGGTCTACGCTTCTTTTCAGTAGAGTCTGTAATTCAAACTTTCAAAAACTTTAATTGGCCTCTTGCCTTTCCTCTCAGTCCAAATGTGTGGAGTTTTACCATAAAACTGAAATGAGGAAAGCAGAACTCATCCACGGATAGAAATAGTGTCAGTTCTACCTGTTGCGCAGAGAATTCTGACTTCCAGGGATGTTACGTTGGATGTAACTAAAATGGCATTTGATGGAGAGTGATTCAAAAACAGGGTGGGGGAGTTGCAGGCAGGCGTCCAAGAGAGGCGTCTGAGCAGGGGAGAGGTGGGCCACGGGACGCTTCTGGGAGCGGCTCACAGGCTTGGACCTGCAGCCTGCGGCGCCCTGGGATATGGGTGTGCGCATGCGCGTGCGCGTGATTAAAGCCTCGGGGAAGGCATTTGAAGCCCCTGAGGTCTCAAGGTGATAAAGTCAACACGCCAGCCTGCCAAAATGTGCAGTCTGAAACGGACCTATTTCTCACCACACACATGAGGATACCATTCCTGTTCAAATATTTATTTGGGCTTGCATTCCGAAACGACTTATTCCTCTGTTAGGTTTGGGCACTTCCCCATTCCTTTCTCTCTCTTTTTAAGGTTTTATGAAGATTTCCTTCTCATTTGTTCTAAGGGATTTATGTTTTATTCATTGAAATAGTAGCTGGAGCCTGAAAATGATGGATTCAGGGACACATAAATGAAAGGTTATAGAAGTTTAAATTGTTAAACGCAAGTCATATAGTTATATCCTCACCTCACCATTCTGAAAACATATATTTTTTAATAATAAAATACCCTGAGATTTTACATCATTGAATTCTCACTTGAAGAATCATTTGGGATAAACCTTTTTTTCTAAAGATTAAATTCTTTAAAAGCAAATTAGCTTTTAATGTGAATGTTATGACACAGCATGGGAAAGCTACAGCCACATTATATTGTGGAAATTATTCAAGAATGAACTATTCTCAGAAACACAGAAATGATGCAAACATGAGCTTTTAGACAAAAACCTATGATGGCCTTTGGCAGGGATCTCTACTGGATTCTACTTGCCAAAAAGGATAAATAAAATGTTATGTAGTGCCTGCCAGATGCCAGGCACTCTCTCATGTTTATTGGTGATTTAATCCTTAGAGTAAACCCATGTTGAAGGTATTACTCCCAGTTTATAGATAGGCATACTGAGGTCAAATGATTTGTCAAAATTGCACTTCAAAGTGTCAGGGTAAGGATGTAAAATAAAATTTTCTGACTCAAAATTTGGCATTCTTTTCACTACATTGTGACACTTCTTAAGGATGAATATTAAGTAGTCCCATGGTTGCTTTTGAAATGAAAATTAACTTAAATTGGTGCTTTCTCATATCCCACTCCGGATGTAAGTTTTTAGGATTAAATTGCAATAGAGAAGGTGTTTTCCCTAATAAAGGAGGGTGCCATTAAGTCTCTTTTTAAAATAAAGAGGTATGTTCATAAAAACACTGAGAAATGAAAATTGAAAAAATTAAAGTTTGTAAATTGTTTCAAAACATAGTGGAACTACATATTACCTGTGAATCATTAGACTGCTAGGAGAGGTTCCCAAAATGATACCCTGAATGAAATATCACTTTAAAGTATTACCAAGCATCCTAATCCAAAGAACTTTGCAGAAACTCTGTCTCCTTAGTTTTCTTTAATATATGCCCTTGAAATAAATATGCCAGCACAATAAATGTTGACCGAGACCTGTTGGCTTTACAGTTGCGGTTTGCTATGAAATTAAAGATAAATTCTAATGAACTGTGCAGAAACATGACCTCATCACTAGGTAGGTAATGATACGGTCAACTGCAAAACACAGTCCTCGGCGAGAGCTCAAGCTTAAAGTCTGACATTTTATTCCTTTGTTCTATATATTTATTTTTTAAATTTCTTAAAGACTATTAGAGGAAGTAAATTAATATCTTGAGAGATTCATTGGCTCAAAGCAACGGCTGTTTACGTTCCACTATCGTGTTTGGTGAATGCACACGCACAGAGTAATCGAAAATAATTGATACTTTTTAGAATATAAATCAAGGTAGATTTAGTTGGGGTTTTGGGGAAATTATGTCCAGGAAAGAAATGTCATTATGGGCACTAACAAAGCAAAATGTGATGCCAGTGTTAGGACATTTTAAACGTATGTTTCAGAAGGTGATTTGAACCGTTTAAACCAAGGCTCAAGTGTAGCTAACAGACTCCTTGATGAGGTTGATTCCTCAGCTGTCTTGTTGCCCTGGGTCTCTTAACTCCTCCCACAGATTTCACAGTTTGTGTGTATCAGGTTTAGTCATTTATCTAGTGAAGCACTTATCATATTCCACTGTTCCATGGCTAATCATGGCATAAGCAGTTAGCACTTTTCATCTTCAAAGCTCTTAACAGCAGTTAATTAATATAAACAACCCCCTTAGGAGATAAATTAATCACACTGTAATAGTTCCCATTTCACCAATTGAGAAGCTGAGGTGGAGAGGCCAAGTAATTGGCCCAAAGCCATTGAGAAAGCAATATCTGAGGACGATGGTGGCCTGAGGAGCTCTGAGATCTCAAACTTTAATGAAATGTTTGCATTTCCATTAGTCTCTTGTACATCATATATAACGCCATGCAACCAATAGCTTTCTCCAGATGGTCCAGTGGAAAAAAGCGGATTATTCTGCTACCTACGCTAAGAGTATCAGCTTGATTCTCCATGGTATCAGCATAACTGGTCACAAAGAAGTTGAAAATATTGTTACCCCCAAATTCCAGTCTTCGGATAAAATTTCAACTTCTGTTTACCTGATCCTATCAAATCACTTCACAGATCTCTCTCTATATATATCATCTCTATATGATGATAAACATCTGGTCTCAGAAATCAAATGAAAAAGACCATCAAACCAATTGATCGTTTGCCCATACCACCAAATGCCTGAAATTGAGTGGAATTTAGATTGACTTAGCTGAATCCCTGGATGTCCTGATGTGGTTTAGAGTTTAAATCAAATCACACTAGATGACTTTCAATAAATAACATATATTAATTCAATAGGTTCAATGTATAATTTAATGGCACAGCATGGGACTAGTAAATGGGACACCAGAGCTGTACCCTATTCTCAATGTACACTGACTCACAAAATGAACTTGTTACTTTTAATTTCCCCTTTGGATAAAAATCTTAAAATGTCCCAAGCTGTTCTTGAGTATGTATGAAACAAAATCTAAATGGAAATTTATTGACAAGGTAAAAAATAAATTTTGGTCATTACTGTAAAAATTACTAGAAATCTTACCCATACTTGACCGTCATGACTCTTTCCAATTTTTGCTCCAACTGAACTATGTGAACCCATGCTTGTATCAATCAACTTATTTGTTAGCCGGAATCATGGTCCTCTTCTCCCTCCTTGCTTTAAAAATACAGATAATGGGGATCTCATTTTAAACAAAAAAACTGTAATATAGGCTTTTTCCAACATATTTGGTTCTAATAAATAAAGTAAACACTATACCCAATCTTATTAGCACCTAAAATCCTGAAACAAAATTATTAAGAAATAAGTTATGGGGCCAGCCCAATGGTGCAGTGGTAAAGTGCGTGCCCTCAGCTCTGGCAGCCCAGGGTTCACAGGTTCGAATCCCAGGCGTGAACCTAGAACCACTCATCAAGCCACGCTGTGGCAGCATCCCGCATAAAATGGCACAGATGTTAGCTCAGTGACAATCTTCCTCGAGCAAAAAGAGGAAGATCGGCAACAGATGTCAACTCAGGGCCAATCTTCCTCACAAAAAAAGAAGAAGAAGAAGAAAAGAAATAAATTATCTTAAAAATTGTCCTAGGGAAACTGGGGGGAAAGTATATGGGAACACTCTGTACTACTTTTGCAACATTTCTCTAAATTTAAAATTATTCCAATATTAAACATTCATTAAAAGAAAAAGGCAATATAAAAATGAGTGTGGTAAACTGAATAATGGCCCTCCAAGAGATATCCACAGCCTAATCTCTGAAGCCTGTGAATGTTATTTTATTTGAGGGAGGGGAAGAGCTCTTAGAAGACATGATTAAGTCAAGGATCTTGAAATGGGGAGACTATCCTGGATTATCTGGGTGGGCCTTAAGTGCAATCTCATGTATCCATGTAAGAAGGCAGAGGAATTTTACACACAGAGAGGAGAAGATAATCTGAAGACACAGCAGAGAGATATTTGAAGATGCTGGCCTTGAAAATAGGAGTGATATAGCCACAAGCGAAGGAATCCTGGTAGCCATCAGACGCTGGAAGAGGCAAGGAATGCATTCACCCTCAGAGACTCCAGGGGGAGTCCAGCCTGCTGACACCTTGATTTCTGTCCGCTGTCTGATTTTCACTCCTGGTGTCCAGAACTGGGAGAGAATAAATGTCTGTTATTGTAAGCCACGGAGTTTGTGGTCATTTGTTACAAGAGCCACAAGAAACTAATACAATTGGCAAAAGAATATGAAAGAGCCAACCACAAAAGAAGAAATACAAACAGCCAATAAGCATATGAGAGATGTTCAATGTTACTAGTAATTCAACGAACTGTCAATCAAAACGATTAGTTAACTTATTTGTTGTATATCAGCTCACAAAATTAAAGAGATTGGCAATTCTTTTAAAGTACCCTGGTGCAATTTTCACCAAAGATATAAAATCACCCAATTAGGCCAAGGTCTTACAAGCTAACACATTTCACGTTCTTCAGGAAAATATGGGTATCTTAAAATTCAAATTCAAGGAGTAAATAATGAAATTTGACTTTAGCGACTCATTAGTCCTCTACAAAATGTTTTTTATTAAGTAGAATTTCAAATATATGCAAAAGTAGAGAGTACTCCTGGTCAATCCTGTTTCATATTTAATACCACTTTCGATCTCTCCCAACTTAGACTATGTTTTTAAAAATCCAGACATCATATAATATTGCACTGTGTGTCTCTGCCTATAGAAATTCATGTCTGTGGCTATATATTAAATATAATATATACATTTATATAGAGCACATATATGCATAATTTATATACTATATATTCATATATATTATATATATGTGCATCTATATGTCTGTTTATTCTGTTTGGTGCTTTTGATGGAATTCTCTTTTCCTTAACTTCTATTTTTCCAGAATTAGGAATTTTATGCCAGGAAGTTTTGAGAAATTAAAGCAAGAGAAAAGACTTTCCCATGAGGGTCAAAAGATTCCAAAGTCTGATGCCCTTACACCATATGAGAAAGAGACTCATGGGTCTGAAAAGGTGTGTGTGTCCCGCATTGTTCCTCTTAGAGCTCAATCTATCAATCCTTCTTTGTCTTCAACCTCCTCTCTACCTCTCTGCTACTCTTATAAACATGTTTCAGATGCTGCCAACCTCCCGCCTCCATCAAAAGTAACACCTCATTGATTCCGCAGTTCCTCTAGCCACCACCCCATCCCTACTCAACCAAGCTTCTTGAAAGAATAGGCCACATTTGTCTCCATCTGTTCATGTCTCATTTACTTTGCAACTGAAAGCAATTGGAGCAAAAACTTTCACCTGAAACCACTCTCGATGAGCCTTCACCAAGTCAAAGGATCATGCTCATAAGCAAAACAGACGTGGCCCCTGCCCTCACAGCTCTGTGGCTAACCGCCCTTCGGTCTGGATCTCCTGGGTGGATTTGGGGGAATGGAATGAATGGCTAAGCACT